TACATATATGAGAGAATGATGTCCAAATTTGTTAGTCATTTGGTTTTGTATTTAATAACCTCCGGCAAGAGAAGTAAGGTATGTAGGTTTCAGTTTTGAAACAGAAGGGGACAAGAGTCACATCTCTTGTTTCGGGAGGGAGTCTTGTATTTCTTTAGTTTTTCTGAAAATGTTAAAGAAATTGATTGTGATTAGGTAAAGAGCAATTCAGAGGTTTGAGAGATGATTTGGGAATTCCCGACGAGCATGATTTTGTGATTGATACCGCTGCACTGTTTTTTACGGTATGTTTGGTTTACGTATTCTCTAAATATAATTTTGCAAGGACTTGTATCCTTTTATTTTAACTTGAATCTATTTTCTGAAGATGGAAGCTGTGCAAAATTTCACCAAACGCACCACTGTTTCATTGGTGAAGGCTGCTTGCCTCTACTGTATTTGCAGGTTAGTGATCGTCTTGTTTCTCTCCATGCTCTTGTGTTATTCACTCTCTTTTGAGAAAAAAACTTGCTTGATATGCAGGGAAAGAAAACTTCCGTTCCTTCTTGTTGACTTTTCAAGCCACCTTAATGAAAGCGTGTAAGATGCTATTGATATATCCTTTCATTCGTATAAAAAGGGTTTTGTAGCCTAGTTAATCTGATGCGGTTTTTGCTGTTTTGGTTTCACAAATCGTGTGCAGCTACGCGGTAGCTTCTGTTTACTTGAAACTCTGTGAAATTCTGAAGATTAAGGAATACCAGGATTATGAAAAGCTTCTTGATCCTTCAGTTTTCCTTCCTTCATTCTCAAACCGTAAGTATGACATTTGGCTCCCATTCCATTCTGTTAATTGTATGACGTCTTTTGGCTTCCTTTCTTTTCTGGTTTTGTTTGATGGTTTCATCCTACAATTGCAGATGTAGTGGATGGACCAGAGAATCGAGAATTTGTGAAAACAGCTAGAGACATTGCTGCTAACAGAGATTGGATAGAGGTGTGTGACTCTTAATTATTTTTTAAAACCTATTAAGGCTATATATTAATTAAGTCCATCTATTGGCTTGCAGAGTGGCTATACACTTAGCCACGTATGTGGCCAATCACTTCACCTAGCTGCCACTAAACACAGTATCAAGTGTTCTCAAAAATATTTTGTAAGCAATTCTTGTGTCTTTCACTATTTTTTTCGTTAAATATATGAGGCTTTTCTTTTACTAATTTGTTGTGTGTATTATTCAACAGGAGTATATTGTTAGTACATATGAGGCAAATGTAAAGAAGGAGATTGGGCCTGAAAACTATCCACAAGCTGAATATCCGAACAGTTCAGGGGTGCTAGCTGATCATTCAGGATATTTTTGGGAATTCATAGGTGAAAACGACTCAAGACCATTCTTAGAACCTTCTCTCACCGCTTTTCATCTCAAAGTCCGCTTCCTTCTAGAGGAAGGCATCAACCGTGGACAGGAGGCAGCATCGCGAATCGGCCTTGCGACGAAGATCGGTCTAGACCAAAACACCAAGGGAAATCTAGAGACGGCTTTAGCAGCGATAAAAGTCTCTCGAGAGGCGTTGGAGAAAGCTACTCGTCTCGTCTGCGCTGCAACATTGGTTCCGATCGCAGAAACGCCACAAAATTCAGATCACGAAGACGAAGAGCTTCCCGTTTGGAGAAGAACAAGAGGTCAACGATCCCTTAGGAGAAGGCGTCATGGAATCCTTCCGCCGTAAAAACTTGTTTGATTGGTTTTTTTTTTTTTGTGAAAATGGTTTTGATTGTGGACTTTATCGGCGTTGATGTGTATTACGAAAGATACTAAAAAAGAATCTTAAACCTTCGAGAAGTACAAAACTATAAATTGGAAGACCACTAATTTTGGCACAATTAACTCGTAATCAAATTTCAACATTCTCATATATAATTTGTTTCTTCGTAGGGATCGCGTTGCTTGCGCCAAGTAGTAGATTACGATGATGAAGACATTCAGTCGTAGGGGTGATACATCTTTTTCTTTTTAATTTTCGTTAATATTCAATGTAAACTCGCTTATTTCAATTCTTTCCAATGATATAATGGTATTTTTTGAGAAAATTTACTAAATTGACCCGGTTTGAAATTAATAATGTCTCAATAACCTTTGAATACATATCTCTTTTGTCCCAATAACTTTTGATATTTTCATAACCCAATTTTAACTTTCAATATTAGTAAAAATTCATTTTTACTAATATTTTTGGAATTTAGAAAAAAAAACAGAATATTCATTTTTTTGCGGTTTCCTTTTTTAACAT